CACTAAGGTCACATAGTCCACGCGTGGCTTACACACATAACAATTAAACCCTGAATGACTGTATGTATAGGATTACACACATAAATAAACATACAACTGACATAACACGCACAAGCATGCTCCTCATGCACCAGCAACACTACGAGCAACTTTAGCATGGGCTAAACTTAGCTACAAAGGAAAATATTTGTATACTTGAGCGGCCAACTTCCTTTGATTGCAGCAGTGGTGCAGTAGGAAACAATGCACAGGACTATTAATACACCAAGGAGAAAGAGAATTCCTCTCAGACGAAAGCTCAAAGGAGCCATGGCCAGGCTATTTGCAGACTTACTGATGATTGGATGACTGCTGCACTATACTTACTGTAGTCTGTGCATCTTGTCTTACTCAACTGTTTTTCACAAGGACTCTGACATGCTGACACGCACAGTACAGGCTGCACAATGAACCATATTCTCTATAAGGCCTCTTTTCTGCATTTCGCTGACTGTTCTGATGATGTGCAGATACAGAAGCATGAGAAGTGTAATAGATCTGGTAGGTGCTGCCGCCTTGTTTCCGTTCCACAGCTCTGACATTTAACTGTTGGTAAATAGCCGACTGGCCACACTTATGACCGCCTCCCCTTTCTAAAAGTGCCCAGTTAAAGAGCATCAAATCCCCACTCACTAAATCCACACAAGCCCAGCCTTCATTAGCATAGCTAACAAACTGTCCCAAAGAGCATGGGCAAAGAGAGAACAATGGCAGTCTATTAAAGGGGAGGATGGAGTGACTGCGCTGCATAGCCTATTGTTCTGCTCTGATTTGGCCCGCGGTGTCACCCTGCAACTGTTGTCACTTCTAAGTTTAGCCGGACGCCTGAAGAGGACAGAAGCAGGAGAAGGAGGTGGAGGACACAGAGGAAGAGTGGAGGTTAATGTAATGTGCACCACACTTAGCCTAATGTAAGTCCATTAAACCTTGAAAATAAACACCAAACTGTTTCATCACTATTTCCTTTCACACCTACTGACCTTAATGGGTCTTAGGCCCAAGGCTTAATTTAAGTTTGATGTTAATTTGCAGGACAGAATCTCTGTCAGTTGTATGAACAACATTTTATTGTGTATAAGCTATAAAAAGAGTGGCCTAAAGAGAATCTGAGGAGGAGGTGATTAAAGTGATAAGGCAACAGCGAAGGAGAAAGACGAGCAGTAGATTAGCCCAGCTGTCCGCTCATAAAGCAGGCGGAGGGTGAGGCGCTAAGCTGCCCAGTGAAAGCAGAGCTTAGGTGGGTGACATGGGGCAGCGTACTGCACTCAGCGCAGTGGCCTCCAGCACAGGTCTGAGCCAAAGCAAAGACACATGGATAAACAGTGGTAGATGGGGCTAAGACGGACAGCCGGCGGAGCATCCAGCCAGGCGTCATTAGGCCCCAGTCCCTATACTATAGTGACTAGAGTGGAGACAGTGAGGGTTAGGTCTAAGGCTGGCTCTATAGCAGTCGACAGGAGACACGGCTCACAGACATGTCTCAGTCAAGAAGGAATGTTGATTTACTGTATTGTGGCTGTATTTAGCTGAAGGGAATATCAGAGGCTTCACACAGCCTTGGTATGCACCGGGACAATGCACCCTCCTCTCTCACCACATCACCTCATCCATCTCACCCAGTGCCCTGCTGCTGACCCCTGCTTAGTGGTGCGGGTGGGACAGGCCTCATGGCAAGGTCACAAGTACAAGCCGAGGACAAGTACTGAAGAACAAGAGTAGCTAAGGTCCTCTACTGCACATATCCACACACACTGTCCTCTGTCACCTGGGAGCAGAGGAGCATTATCCACTGGCATTTTATGAGTGCCCAGTGTCACTATACACTTCATATCTCCATCATCTACATAACAGATCAAGCACTCGATATAGTAGCCTTATCAGGGGACGTGCTTTGTACAATGCTCCCACCAGACCAAAATTAGTTTGACAGCGGAGTAATGCACTGTGGAATGTATGTGCCTTTAAAGTTTAGAAGTGTAAAACATTATAGGGTATCAAGTTAATTTTCATATTGTGTTTCTAGATTAGTGCAAAGCTCAAAGAAGCCCCCTTCCGATTTACAAGAACAAATGTCAAACCAACATTACTGTAAATAAATGTTATATATATTTGAGGCATTTAAAGTAAGAATCATGATTGTCAATATAGAAATACACAAGAATGCTACTGAATAAAATCACATGTGAGAGTATGTATTAACAACCTGCACTCGGCCTGTCACAAATTTGAAGCACGATATATTGCTACAGAGCGTTACAGCGATAAACGATAATACTGAAACTACTTTATTTCCACACTATTGCAAAGAAAATTTATATATATATATATACACACACATATATATACATATATACATATATATATATATATATATATATATATAAAGTCTCCCCTGGGCCACACAGGTCATCCCTACTGTATCCATTTAATTCTGCTGCCTTGTACCCATGATTTACTCTAACAGGGTTTCCTTGAGAACTAAATCTACTTAGGATTTATTGTTTCTTATTATTTCTCGTCATTGAAAAATTATAATCTGTTGACCTAATCCCTCCACTCCCTCCCCATGCCTCAGATCATATTCATCAAGATGATCCCTCTGTGACAAAGCAAGAAAATCAGCACAGTGGGGAGGTCTAAAGAGATCGCATACCGGGACAAGAGGGTTTCTTCCAAATCAAATCAGCTTCCTGTGATGTAATCAAGACGAGACGCCAAAGACGAAGGCCATAATCTCCTGGCGACATGCCTCCCTGCGCTCCTGTGTTATTAAAAATGAAGAGAAACAAATCTTTAGATTGAAAAGACAGGAAAATGGAATTATAATAAATCAAAGCCAAACTGGGGCAAGGTTGGATAAAGGCTCCGGATCGAGATGAGGGGCAAATCTTACTAGAATATTTTTTATATATTTATTCATGATGAGGACCAGTGCAAGTTATATAATTGCACCTGTCCTGAGCTCTTCATTTCAAAGTACGAAATTAGATGTGTTTACAGTTAATATCCACATGAGGGCGCAATATGACCAGATAGAACAGCTAAGAGGTTAGATTAGAGGGCTCTTTTTATTCAAGAATTATATTATGACTAGTGACATCTAGATCTTGTGTTTCCTGTTTTAATAATGACCAATTCATTTAATCTAGTGTTTATGTGTATGAATGTAGTGTGAATTGATATTTTTGTTCACAGACTTTTAATAAAAGAGGCATCAATAGAAGGCTGTGTGTTTCTTGAACCACCAGCAGATGGCCTTACTACACTGCACAACCTTTGCCTGCTGGCCTTAAAAGGAGGGTAGGTGGTTTCATAAACTTGACCTATGTGTGACCCCATAGACAAATGTTTAAATGAAATATTGATATTTTACTGATAACAATTGTAATGTTGCTTTTATACAAAATTATAAATTAAATAAAAACTCTGGGTATGATCAACTTTACTGATTCACAATTGAATCGGGTTTTCTATGTTATCATTTGGCGTTTTGGTTCTCAAGACAATCAGAAAGCAGAATAGGACACATGATTTTCCATTTGAATCCTCACAACCTAAACCCCCGCACATGCAGCCAATCATGAATCAGTGCTAGTGCAGCCTCTGCAGCTCAGTGAGGGAATTCTGCAATTCATTCACATGAGGCATGACCTGACCAAAGACTGAGAATGAGAAAATCGTTTGTCATAAATATGCAGGATGAGACACAGCAATGCCACATATCCTCCCTTTAATGTCATAAACAGATAATGAACATTTGCCTGCAAGTCCAGAATTGTATCTCTCTCTGAGTCTGGACATTTCCAGGCAAATGAACAGGAAAGAGGAATAATTAAATACAAATACTTGCCATGATTTCAGCCCAGAACTGCTCAGGAGCTAAACGTGTCGAGTTCAGTCTTTTCACCAGCGGCGCATCAGGGCCATGATTTAAGAAACAGCTTTAAAAGACATTGTTTTGCTGGTTAGAGACATCTAAATGTATTTTAATGTAAACTACACTTCACATAACAGTAGTAGTGTTGTGAAACTTGTACTTAGAATGCAATGCTAACCTACCCACTTGACAACGAAGCCTTATAAATTGTGGTTTAATCTGTTCCAAAAGGGCAGTACAAGATATAAACCTGTTCATACTGTTCCCAGTAGGAATTCATGGCAATGGCAACTTTACAAACATCAAAAAGAAAGAAAAAGGGGAAAAAAGGGACCAGGGACTGCAGAAATGGTCCGGTTTACATTAGTTAGATTTCTTAGCTCGTGTGCTGCTGTCTGGAGGAGTCTGCTCTCTGCAACTTACTACAGCGTCAAAACATCCCCTCGGTCTGAAAGGCCTTTAACGTTGGGGGTCACTCCACAGAGAAGTAAATTCGTGCCATTTTCTAAACATGACACCACGGCTCCCATTCTACACGAGGCAGGCCAGCCAAGACTTCTCCTGAGAGTGCGAGGAGGCCAAGGGGAAGAATGAGGGGTCAGCACTTATTGTTTGTGAAACGATCCGTCTTCAAATACAAAAAAAAACTGAATTAACAGCCTAGAAATCAACAACTTGGTACTATTCTGTTGCATTAACTGAGTAAAGTCATAAATATCATAGTAACACACCATATGCTTCTTTTAAATTCTTACTTTGGCAATGTTTATCTTCACAATGTTGAATTTGATTTCACGATATTTTCTACTGAACCACTAATTAACAGTGCAGTACCTCATATGACCACTAAAACGGAGTGTGGCGCTATTTTAATTAAAAAAATAATTAGGAATGATTACTAAAATGTACAAATCTTAGTTTGTATTTTTAACCTATTATTTTTTGTACATCATGCAGTACACACATTGCTTAATTTTGTGACATTTATCTCTGCATTTGATTTTAGTAACTCGTGTTTAGTGGATGAGGCACCAGTAGCGTAAAACGTGGGACCTGCAGCTGCTGGCCACATCTTTAGGGGTGTTGGACAGTGGAAGAGCAGCAGAGCAGGGCGCTGGTGTGAACGATCATTAGAACAGCCTGGGAGACAGACTGATTACCATGACAGGCAGCATCAAGGGACTGGAGAAGTTTGAAAGCCCGGGAAAAGGACGTGGTCTCCGGGTAACCAAAGCATTTAAAGTCGGGGAGCTGCTCTTCTCCTGCCCTGCGTACTCCTCTGTGTTGGCAGTGGAGGAAAGAGGCAGCATGTGCGAATTCTGCTTCAACAGGTAACGTAAAGTTCACGTAGACTCCTGCATGGTGCGATCTATTCTTTCATTGCTATACTTGTTCTATAAATTCACTTCCTACTGTAAATTGACCTAAATTGTCCTTTGAAAACCAAGAGAGCTTCAACTTTTGTAACCAGCATCAACCAGATGTCTGATGGTATGAATAGGTGCCTATTTTGGTATATGTTTTATCATTATAGGTAAGAGGCTTGCATAGCTCTAATTTTAACTTTGTAAATATTTTTAAGGTTTGTAATGAAACTTGTATAGGCTATTTGAGATGCAGATTCTAAAGAAGTACTTGAAAGCAATAGTCAAAATCAAGTACCCTACAAAAAAGGCATTAAAGATGGATGTCAATTAGTTAATCACTTTTTCATTTGTATATGTTCTTTCCTATATCAATATACTACTTAATTTCACATAGTGTCAAATTTTTTATTGCCACTGGGACGAAACAGCTGTCACAGAGCGGCTCTATTAATACCCCAGAATGTTTTAAAGCCCTTCATTGCTATCACTTACGATGAAGCACCACCAACTGCTCCTTCGTGTCCCACAGTAATAAAGAGGGATGCCAGTAAACACTCCAGAAGCAGACCACCAGCACACAGTACGCAGTGATCTTGAGCAGTTGACTCACGTTTCTGCTGAACCATAGACTGAACTCTTTATTTTATGTATGTATTACTTGAGCTATATTCTTATATGCCAATTATATTTCCACACAGGAAACAAGGTCTGGCAAGGTGTGGCAAATGCAAGAAAGCATCCTACTGCAATGCCAAATGCCAGGTACAATAACACAGGATACACTTGTGTCAGTTTCTAAGTTGAAGTTTTACTACAGTAACTAACTATATATTATATATAATTCTTGAGCAGAAAGCAGACTGGCCCATGCACAAGCTTGAATGTTCCGCAATGATTGCTTTTGGAGAAAAATGGTGTCCGTCTGAGATTTGCAGGCTAGTAGCTAGGATCCTCGCTAAAAAGGTGAGCTGAAACTTAAAATAATTTTCACATTAATAAAACAAGTTATTAAACATATAGTGGTTATAACTGTGTTTTTAATATATCTAATATTTCTGATTTTGTAGAAGTCACAAAAAGAAAGAAGTTCATCAGAGCAGATGATGCAAATAGGAGAGATGCAATCACGTGGGTAATTTCACCATCAGTACTCAGACACATCTTTTACTTCGCTAGTAGTTAAGTACATAGCTATTGTTCACCTATGGACTGTAAGTGCACTGTAGGGTCAGTGCATGTTCGGCTTTAAAAAGCACAGGTCATTGAGATTGCACCAAGAGAAGGCCCCATTGCTATCTATATATATCCTGTAGAAGTGGGGCAAATGGGATAGAGACAACATAACAAGTGTAACAACTTAAAGAGAAGCAGCGACTCTTCAGACTGACACGCCGGCCTGATTAGTGTGTCTGCATAGACGAAACGAAATCCTCTGGAATTCACTGTACTCCAAAAATATGCACAATGAGCTTTCTAAAGAGTTTAAATAATTCCAAGAGAGCTGCTTCCCAGATTTATATTACATTGAAGTTGAATATAGCTCACTCTAGTTTAGCTGACGAATGTTTTAGCTGGTTTGTGAAATTGAACTTGATGCAGTGTTACGTGCCAAGATCAACACTCAACATCACAGTATATGGATATTCTGATGACAATTTGTTTGTGCTACATTATCTCAAGTGTGACAACTTGAGATCTCAAACCTTGTAATTCTTCAAAAATACTCAAAAATTTATTTATTTATGGTATTTTAATATTATTATAGATCTGGAAGATATGGACAACGAGAGGAGAGAGATAAGTGAGTCAGACATTGCACAACTCCATCAGTTTTACTCAAAGCATTTAGATTTCCCAGACCACCAAGAGCTACTAAGTCTTTTCTCCCAGGTATTTTTAGGAATTTTTACCCATAATGCAACATAAAACGATTTGTATTTTCTTTTAAATGTTCATTTACATCTGTATTACAGGTTGCTTGCAATGGTTTCACAATAGAGGACGAAGAACTGTCCCATATGGGAACTGCAGTCTACCCAGAGTAAGCTTGACATTTATATAAGCTTTGTTGCAGTGTCTTTTATAGTTGTTTTTCACATTGACCAGACCCTAAATAGACCACGCTCTCCTCCCCAGTTGGTCATTTAGTGGTTAAACTTGACCTCCTGCGGTTACCAGAGCAGTTTAGTTTTAAAATTGGCTATTCGAAGGTGAGTTTACCCCCTCTGTCTCTTTTTGAGTTATTTCCAGATAGGTAACAACAAGGTCCCTAACATGTCTCAGGGCCACTAGATAGTTATTGCTGAATGGGGCTTTATTTGTTTTTCTTTTTGTTGCCTAGAGAAATTGTGATTGTTTGTTTCATTTTCTACTTGTGTAGTGTGGCCCTTATAAACCACAGCTGTCTTCCCAACACTATCATCACTTTTAATGGGACATCAGCAGAACTCAGGGCTGTAAAAGACATGAAACCTGGAGATGAGGTAAGCAAAGGAGGCACCTGTTACCGCATGCTGTATTTCCTGTATTCATTTATGGAATTGTAATGGCATTGGTAACTGTGAAAGTAATATTGAAGTAATTGTAAACATAAGATTAAGTTAATATGGAGACATTGAAGGTCCAAGACTGACTTTTGTGAGCTTTTAGCTGTGTTATAATGTTGTTAACTCCTCTAAAAAATACCTGGAGTTGTGTTTTGTTTCACACATGTTTGAGTTACCCTTTATTATTACTCTGCCAAACTCAAAATGCTCTGTTCTACCTTGTGATGTCATGTAGTGATAGGAAGGGTCAGATTGGCAATTCAAAGGCTGAATCTATCCAAATTATTCTAGTGAAAGTGTATGGATTTTAAAAACACAGTGGAGCACTTCCTGTAATACCACATGACATAACAAGATGAAACAGAGTGTTTTCAGTTTGAGAGGAAAAAACTCAGCCTAAATATGCAGGGTTTGAGTGTTACATGTCTGAACTAAACAACAAAACATTATAAAAAAGATTAGAAAATAGCCTAATATGGGCTCTCGTGTCATGGTAGTGAAAGTAATAGATAAATTCACAATATAGTGTAGGTAAGAAAACTGGCATGCAATCAAAATTAAGATAAAAATCAAGTACATATTTACACATAAAGAATGACAACAACTTTAATTAAGGTACCTATTCAGTTCTTATATGAATTTCTGTCCATGGAAACAGGTCTTAAATGTGAGTTTGTGGGTTTTATGGGATGCAGCAGCTGATTTTAAAAGCTTGTGGTGTGGTTATTTTCAGAACTGGCCTCTGAGTCCCTGATTTCTGCCAGTGAACATTATTCCAATATGATTTAGTGTTCTATGTTTGACCTGTTATGAATGTGCCCTTAGGTCTTCATCAGCTACATAGACCTTTTGTATCCAACAGACGACCGCAACAACAGGCTAAGGGAATCCTATTACTTTACCTGTGAATGCCAGGAATGTCAAAGCAGGTCACAAGTAAGAAAAATCCTGATAATAAAAGAATGTAAAATTACTAAATGTTTCACTTGTTAAAGGTGCACTATGTAACTTTTTGGTTGGCGATCCATCACCTGCTTGTTTCAGTGGTTATGTCATTAAACAGCTCTACCTTACCTTTAATTAATTACAGTGGGTTTTATTGCTCAAAAATAGCCAGAAAACTTACACAATGCACCTTTAAGTGTTATGTATTCTTCAGGACAAGGTGAAATTAAAAATCCGTAAGCGCAGTGATCCCATTGAAGAGGAGGTTGTGAACAACATGGAACGCTACGCCAGAAAAGCAATCAAAGAATTCAGAGCTTCAAAACACTACAGAAATATCCTTTTTGTAATATTTGGTGAAAAATTGCTGCCAAAAAGTACAAATGAATATGAAGTAGTAAGTTGGTTTTCCCTCATCACATCTTACTCAGAGTTGTTTTCAACTGATTCATGTATGTTTGAGTAATCCTCTATTGTTCTGCACCTGAGGCTTGTGTGGTCACAAAATCTCTGTTTTCATCTCCGCCCACTGCTGTACTTACTTGAGATTATTTCAAAAATTCAGACTTTGGGTCATAAAATTTAAAAATAAATCTCATGTATCTATTTTCTGTTCTGAACAGATGCTTAGTTTCTATTATTTGGCCAATTTTAATCCATATTGTAGTTCACAATGAACAAAATGCATGTTGAGGTTTAATACTAAATACCTGAAAAAACACAATATTTGTAGTTTTCTTTTAATTTTTACTACTAATATTTTCAGTATATAAAAGAGCATATGTGTAGATGTTTTACTTGCTATCTATTTTGTAATACAAAGCTCTAGGTTAGAATTACTTGTGTGACATTTCAGTTTATAGGTGTCTGACATGTTTTGGGGGGGGCTCAGAGTTGGCTGAGTGATGCCTTGACTCTTTAGCACCCCCTAGTGAGCTGCTGGAGATGTGTGAGCAGAGCCTGGAGAAGATGGGCTCCATTTTTGAGGACTCCAATGTGTACATGCTGCACATGATGTACCAGGCAATGGGAGTATGTCTTTACCTGCAAGACATAGATGAAGCGATAAAATATGGAGAGAAGTTAATCAAACCATACAGGTATTTAAATGACCAAAAATGTCAGTAGAGACAGTAGGTTGCATTTGTAGAATGCCTATAGTTTAAAATAAAGCTGGTGGAAGGGTCAGATTTCTATAGTGGAATTTGCTGTTTAACTGTCAGATTACAGACAGAGTGCATTTCTTTTACCTGGTTTATGATTAATATCACTTTAGTTATGGGGCCTATCCATGTGAAACAAAAACTGGCACAATGTTCAATATTTTTTTCTCCCCATAAATGAACAAAAGTAAAATAATTGACTTACATAGTTTTAGAAAGTAGGCCCATTATTAAATCCCAAAAATGTGATGATGTTAATAATGTCAAGTTTGTGAAGCCAAGATCAAACAAATACATTTTAATTTCCTTTTGGATATTACTTTTAAAAAAAAACTGTAAGCTATGCCTTTCCTCAATTTCTATAATGCAAATGCAACATATTAGTTTGATATTGGTTTGAAATAATTAATAATAATAATGTCCTCTGATCATTGCAGTCAGCTCTACTCCCCCCTCTCCCTGAATTTGTCCTCAATCTACCTGAAGCTTGGCAGACTGTACATGACAATGGATAGGCACTCAGCTGGGGTCACAATGCTAAAAAAGGTAAACATTTCAAGTTAAAATTAAATCATTAAGTGTGTTATAATTGGGTTTATGTGACAGTGAAGCATAGAATGGCTATCAAATGTAATTATTATTTGTGTGATTTAGGCAATGTCTATCATGGAGGTTGCCCATGGAAAAGACCATGTTTACATGTCAGAGCTGCGCAAAGAGATGACACAAAAGTGAAGAATCAAAAGCACATTTCACCCCTATGGACTGCATTTACTCCATAAACTGGAGTGTTACAGAACTATAGGCACTTTCTGTTTATATTTGTATTAAGATAGAGAGAAATAATGTTTTTGTTTATATTTTGTGAATACAAATTAAATTGACATAAATAGCATGTTTTCTTTGGATTGTCCAGTTCATGATTGACAGATCAGCTGTTCCTGTCATCCATTAGTCTCAAGTAGTTTACATTTTAGTGTGAGGGTCAATGCAACACAATGGCAGCAGCTGCACCAGCAGTGGGGCCTCTTAGGAGGGATGTCTCTGAGAGACCAACGACTGTTTAGGTGAGCACCTTCACACTACTCTTCAGCCGCAAGAAGAAGATATTATATGTCCAATTATATTATTATTATTATTATTATTATTATTATTATTTGTCCATTTACAGTTACAAAAATAATGTCAAACTTTGTTAAAGAAAATAGGGCTTTATTGCATAATAAGCAGGTAAAACAGCTTCATACATTCAGTATTTGGGCAAGGAAAAGTTATGCACTGAAATAGCATATACAAAACATATTTACATATAGTTTGATAATATTTTGTTTTGCCAAAATAGAAAAAGATAATGGATAAGTTAAAAACAAGCAGTGGAATGCTGTGAGAAAATACTGTCAACAACAGAAGTGCAACAACACTTTAATGTCAAGGGAGCCCTGGGCTTAAAGGCTAATAAAAAATAGTATATACAGTGAAATAAAAAGGCATGCATAGTTTATTATTTTGCAGTATTTATGGTACCAAGTCAAAGGAAAATATATATTTATATAAAATATTTAGAAATCTTTTTTGTCCTGTTCCTAATATTTACAAAGTTACTTTGGACATGGCTGGTTTTGCTTAACATTTCACAACAAAAATGTTAAAGGGTGGGACTGCTATCAAATCACATGGCATGACTTTTTTTTTTTTTAAGTGTTTTAGCAACATTACGCTGTTGTTTACACAGATGCTTAAACACTGAAAAAACATTTTTATCTTTGGAGGTAAAAAAGATTAACTTCTTTCTCCAAACTCTAACACAGAGCTGGGACCACATTATGGCAGCCTATTCAGATTCATAAGGCACAACAACACATCATATGTGGTGCATATATAGTGTACATATACACATATGCAAATATGGTATAACTGCATCTTTCTATGCAGGCTGCAAATGTAAACATTGACTTTCTATACAATGTTTTCAAACAAAAAACTAATTGCAGCAGAACAGAATGTCATTAAGGTGAAACTGGACATAGCATGATTATTTGGGTAGTTATTATATACAGAGTGTATGCACCCACATACACAGACAGGAAGAGGAGAATAATTATTAATTATTAAGACTAAGTTGAAAAAGCTTATAAGATTTAAATAGACAAATTGACAGTCATGTTATGGGGAGATAGCAGAAATAAATAAAACATGTTTTACTGGCAAAAATATATTGATTAATACCAAATAGAGATAAATGGCATTGTATTGTGATATGAAAGTGATAACACTTTAGATGACAACTCTTGTAGAGTTTATGTACAACAAATTATAGCAGTAAAATTGCTGCCACCTACTGTTCATGCAATTTACTACCATTCTCCACCAGTCAGAACATTGGAAATATAAAAAACACATTTATTTAGCTACTGGCAAAACATCCTGCTTATTCACCAAACCAGTGTGAATGCAGACAGAATAATTTCTGATTAGGACAGATTCATTTAATTTCCTCTATTTAATGACTGCCCCCATGTAAATCTGTATTAGACATACAACATGAAGTCTGTTTTACAGTAAATCAAGTACCACTTTTGGATGAATCTCACAAGGCTGCTCTCAGATGAGACGGGAATTCTTGAGGAAATGAATAAGGACTTGGTAGACAAACTTATACTGGGAGATTGTCTGCACCATAAGCATCCTCTGTTGCCTCAGCTTAGCCATCATAACTGGGACCTCCATGGGCTGAAGTAGAACAAGAGATACAACAGGTACATTTAAATACACTTTCATTCATTCTGTGAAACATAATGGAGAATGCACTAACCTCATTGTGCTCCAGGCAGCTGATCATGAGTTCAGTGAGGATCACCACTCCTGTGCGGCCCACCCCAGCACTACAGTGCACCACCACTGGGGGGTTAAGACTCTTGGACGTGTCCAGCATAGAGTTGGTGTGTCTCCTCACAGACTGAATCTCCTCCAAATAAGCTGCAGAGAATGCAGAGAATACAATCAACAACAGTCTAGAGACAGAAGAATGATGCACAACAGGCAGCTGAAAATTCCACTCACAGATAAATCCCTGGACATATTCGGGACAGCCTTGCTCAGGCCAGTCAGTGTACTGAAGGTGCCACACGGTCCTCTCCTGTCCTGACAGCAGGTGTTTGACCTTTAACCCCGTGGTGGCATAGCAGCCGGAGTCAGTTCGAAATTTAGTGGTCACCTTGAATTTTCCATGAGTGGCAGAGTTGTGCTTGGAGCCCAATTTGGGCCAGTAGCGATGGCTCTTCGAACGACCGCCCTCCTGAAAGAAAGAGCCATAATGTTATAGGACATAGAGACTACGGCATACCAAAGTGTGAGAGGAGACACAGATGGCAGCTGCCGACCACAGACACATACTGAACATCTGTGGGGCCCATGTGTGCGTACCTCCTCAGCGGTAACCATGGCGATAACGTTGACCCCCTGCTCCCAGACCATCTGCCAGAAGTCTGCGCAGGTGTTGGCCAGTGGGCCCTGGGTGGCGATGTAGTGCCACTCTTCCCCTCTGATTACCATCTGGGAACAGCATTAGAAAACAATAAGCACAGGCTATAAATGAGAGAGAAATTCACTGAAAAATGAAAGACTTCAGCAATAAATTCTGAAGAGAGGAATATTAATATATTAAAAAAAATACTACAAATCGTGTTTTGAAATGTTGAAGTTGCATGTTCATGGTGGGACAGCAGTTTAGTGAGAGCAGCTCAGGTTGACTTAAGAAGGCTTGGAGTTTGAATTACATTCTTGGGGAATTCTCTAAAAGCTTAAATGGACAAACAGCCTTCAATAGTTACATCCTGCTCTTTTCTTAGAAGCCTCTACCAAGAAAATATAGTCTGTAGAATGTGCATTTTTATTATATTTTCTAAAAGATTTTCTGGGCCAAAGGCTTTATTTGCCTGGACAGCTGTAGCATGAAATGGGGAGAGAGTAGCAAAGAGTCAGGGTCTAGAAGCAAATCTACCACACACTTATGTGCCATGTCTTAAACCACTACACCACATTTTAGTATACCTTTATGTGTGAGGCATTGATGTAACCTGCATTATTCTCTTTGTTTGGAACCAGCTCCACTCGGTTGTCTTCATAGGGAACAACATCCCGAAAGCGGTTGCGCTCTGTGTTTTCAGGCAGGGTTGCTGTGGTTACAATACAGTCGGACCTCTTCTTGGGTACCTGCTCATACTCAGTGAATATTTGGTCCTCCTCCAGCTTCAGCTCCAATGTCTTGCACTACAAAACAAATAATTATTCTTTTTACCACTTCACTTCATTAACGCACAGTTCATACCAAACATTTAAATACCAAGAAACTCAGAGCTGAAGATGATGCCGTGCTCTTTCCTTATTGAAGCTGTTTATGAGGCTGCCATATTTGAAAGGGCATCAGCGCTTTGTATCCCTCTTTTTATTGTGGTCCTCTCCCTCATTCCCAGGTCACATTCTTAACATACCGATGGGCCCAGAGGCGATAAGCAGCACCATGCCACGCGTTCCACAGCCCACTTAGAACTTGCCCCCTTTAGCTTAGCAACAGTCCAGACAAAAGCTTATTTCAAACTACACCACTGTTTCATTAGCAAAAAAAGTGCTCTGTATAGCACATTTCATACTAATAATATATAAGAAATAAACACATTATTGGCTCACTACTTACCAGGATGCAGAGAATGACATTGACAAGAAATCAATTTGCAATTTCCAATTACAGACTGCTACAAATTATGATAGAAGTGTCAGATTTTATGAAATGCATTTAATACTAATCATGCATACATACATACATACATACATGCATGCATACATACATACATACATACATACATACATACATATCTCAGAGTTACTTTAGACAATGGCTATGAACTATAGATTTCGCAAACATTCAGTAAATCTGTAAATCTTACCCTCTCGTCAGTTGGAGATTTGGCGCTGTCCTCTGCAGGGCTCTCGGGGACGGGCATTCGGGCCACACACAGCCCATTCAGTGTGGCCATCATCAGAGGCCTCTTCACGGAGTCCACTGACATCTTCTGCCTCTCCAGCGTCTTCAGCAGAGAAGATCGAAGGGTTAGTTTCACAGGCAGCATCGCAACACGCAAGAAATCCTCAAAACTGTGTGTGCATGCTGCGCGTCAGGAAAAAGTGAGGGAGGAGTGGATTTGAAGAATGAGCATGTAATTGTTGCTCTCCTCCAAGTTTCTTCAAAGGTGTGAGCTAAAGAATCCCACTAAGAAATCTTATTACGGGTAGTCTGGCTGCTTTTAATCTGTCTCATACTGCCCTCATCCTAGCAAACATGTTCACATTTCTGCCATTTTTTCTGCTATTAAAAAGTCTTCCCCCTTCTTCTGAGTCTCCATCCTTTCTAAAAAGAGGCTAGCATCGAATTTTTACCACTGGCCAGCCTTATGCACTTTGTCCCACATTATACAGTCTCCTCTTCCCAAAAGGATTAAAGCTAATAATCTCTGATGGCTGGTAAATCTTGTGGATAGCCCCACCCTTCCACAGGTCTTAAACTCCAATGGGACAGTCACAACAACATCTTGGGATTAAGCCTGTCACGATAACACATTTTGAAGTGAGAACTAAAGAAAATATTGGGTTATATCATAATATAAGACCACTTTATGCAGCTGACAGAAGAATAACACAACAACTCTACAGCATAAAAATTAATGACAATACCAGTAACCTTTTCTAAATCAACTCTATTGTATATAATACAAACCACAATTGCTATATAGATACTCACAATAAATACTACTGGGCAAATAAAAATATTATATAGTAAGAATCAATGCTTTGGAGTGCCCTAAAAACAATTTTACTAAGTAACAACTATAAACAAACAATGCAAGAGAAAGGAGTAATTTTACACTTGGACAAATAAATATTGTAATAAAAAGATAGTGTGTGTATGTGTCTGTGTGTTAAAAAATGCTGCACCAACCACATTGGCACCTGCAATCCAAAGAATAATCTATGGGATTTGGAGGGTTTTACTGGCCTGGAGTAACGCAGAGCCTAGCACTACCCTTTCAACACAGGATTATTATCAATTGGAAGAAACCAGCAAGTAAACAAATTACAGACACATTTGTATAATTATTAATGTGTGCCAATTCAACACCATACCACTTTAAAATTATTATTACCAAATAATAATCGAGAGCACCGCCACTCCAATGTCAATCAGTAATATATGATAACCTTTACATATCCAAATTTACTAGCAAAAAATAATTCATCCTCACCCGTTGTGCAATCTCTCTTTCCACAATACTGTCTTCCAGGGAGAACATCTCTGAAACTGGCCTCTCTTTCACTGGCTCCTTCCTCACACGCTCTTTTACACAAGTCAGGTCCGGTTCCGAAATGGAGGGTCCCAAAACGCCCCCATTTACTCCGCTCTGGTCCCCCCGTGTCAGTGTTCCACCTGCACCCTCGCTACCATCATTGCCATTAGGCACACAGTTCTGGCTCTGCCCACCTTTAAGTGCTCTGCTTTGGACTTGATTGAGGTCCACGGGTGTCTGGTTGGCCTGATTGTGGTTGTGGTGATGGTTGGGTGGGCGCATTTGGACTGTGCTAGGTGGTCTCGGGGGACCTGGGTACTCCGGTGGAGGTTTGTTTGGTAATTTAGCCAGAGCGGCCTGCAGCTGAGCACTGATGCTGATGTCCTCATTCAGACCAGGGATTTGAACATCCAGCTCAGGCCTCTCCTCTTCCTCCTCTTCCTCACTCTCACTGCTGTGAATGAGCATGGTGGCATTGGAGAGGGTCTTTTGATGCTGATAGGCAACAGGGGCAGCGGTAGGCGTTTCAGGGGATTTCTGGGAGGGAATCTGTTTTGGAATCTCCTTTATTTGTTGGGAGGGAGGTGGCTGGGGAGGGGGAGGCTGGGGTATGGCTTGGGGTTGAGGTGGAATGACATGTTCTCTGAGAGTGTTTCGTCGCAACAGTGGAGCGTTCATACTTTCATAACCATCCCCTCCATGCCTCCTGCCCGCATGCTGCTTACCACCTCCATACTGTGTCTTTTGCCCAGCGTGGAGCGGTGCTTAGCTGCAGCCGTAAGTGGTTCACTGGCCTCCTGCAGAGACTGGTGCACCACTGCCGAGCTATCAGGCTGGAAAGTCTTGACCGATAGCTGGACCATGCGGGTGACCAACTCAGGACTGCTACCACCGATGCACCTGAGTCTGTGGCTGGCCAGGTCTGGGGTGCTGGTAGCAGGTCTGAAAGAGTTCGAGGGGTACGGAGGAGGGGGCCGCGACAGGTGGTTTCTTAGCATGTTAGCTGTAGCAGCGTAGCTTTGTGTATTAGGTCCTTGTTTGGTGTTAGCTAGCTCAGGTGTGCTGACAGTGTGGGAAATAGAGCTTCCAACGCCCCCACCGTTACCACTGCTGCCTCCCCCATTGACGCAGACTGCAGTCTGGCCCGGGGAGTTGGCTGGGCCTCCCTGATGAGGACCATGGGACACTGGTTTACTGTAGCTGATCTGAAGCAAACCAAAGAGTTAAATGTTAAATACAGTCAAATATATAGTGTAGTTGTCGTTTTTTTTTTTCCTAAAATGTTTTATTTGTTTAAAACTTAAAGGTCTTATATTACATTCATTCACACATGACTAAGTAAATCTGGTTTATTCGTCTGTCTACATCTCCAAAGCTCAAAATGCTCTGTTCCACCTTATGATGTCATGTAGTGACAGTTTTCAAGTTAAACCTCTTGTTTAGTGGAGATTGGCAATTTCAGGGCTGAAATTATCCAAATGATTCTAGTGATATGTGTGGAGTTTAAAACATAGTGGAGCCCTTCCTATACTGCCACATGGCATGACAGGGTGGAACAAAGTGTTTGAGAGAAGAACTCATCCTAAATATGCAGGATTTGTGTGTTAAATTTGTGAATGCAACAAGTTCAGCTATATAACTGATGAGGAAACAACATTATAACAGATAAAAAAGTAGCCTATATGGGCCCTTTAAAGTTAAAAAGGTAAGCTACATTTGCAAAATAATAATAAAAAAAAAGTAATTTAGGTCACATTTATTTCTTGGACGATTCTTTATAGACCTGTGCAGTGTAGGGTCCAGGACAGCCAGGATAAGGCCCTCTCTCCCTCATCTCGGGTTGACTGTACACAAGAACCTCGGGCTGTCTGTAGGCGCACGCATTACTGATGTTGAGGCTGCGCAGTGATTGGCTGTGCAGGTCTTGGTGGGCAGGAAGCATGCGCCTCTTCTGCCTGATCACAGCTTCATATTCAGGTGTAGGCCTGTACGACGGAGCGATGATGGCACTGTGACGATGGCTGGGGAGGTAGTCCGGCCGCATCAGCTCACTTCCTGGGATGCTTAGGTTGGAGGACATGGGCGATGGGGGGATGAATGTCTGTGAATGGTTTAGGGAGCTCAGGCTGGGACTGCTGTACATGCTCCCATTAGGAACAGTGCCGTTGCGGTAGGGGAAGTCCATTTGGCAAATGTCAAGACTGGTTTCTGATTTGTAGTAGGGGTCATCAGGGAAAATACTGTCTGTATGGGGAAAAAGGAAATAAATGTTACCAAAGCTATGAGTTTAGACAAACTGAGGTGTGAGTAAAATTTGTACACACTCAATTCATGGGGATATGCACTGGAAAACAAGCTACATAGGTCTCCAGGAAGAACAGTTGGTAGCTAAGGTCAATTAAATACAATCAATGAACTTGCCCAGAGACTACAGGTGGAAATTAGCACTGGTGCTACAACCTGGCACAATGCATCTTTCCTGTTAAGGTTAATGTAAATTGTGCACTGTCCCTATCTCGTTAAATAAATAAATAAATAAATAAATAGATAGATAGATAGATCAAATAAATACATCGCGGCACTAAAGGGTAGCTATTAACTTGAAAACTACCACTTCATAACATCACAAGGTGGAACAGACAAACACCTAAACACAACTACAGGTATGTTTATGATAAGGTAACAATATTATATCGTGGCATAAGGTACACAAGGTGATTCTGCGTAATATAGGACCTTTAAGATATGAGTAAAGATATGTTATAGTTTGGGTGTAGTTAGTAATGACTATAGTTAACATTAGGATGAGTCTCCAGGAAATGAATGAATGTAATGGCAATGTTATGTCTCTAAGAATCATGCAAATCAAAGATGTGCGCTTTTTGCCTTCTCTCATAGATTTGTCTAATAAATAACATTAGAATCCTCTGACTATGCACACACAATATATTATCCGGCTGGCTAGTGTCTATATTTTTGTTCTATATTTAGCTCTTGTGAAACTATTGCACACCCAAACTTAATCTGTGTCCAGACAAATGGAGAGATGCCTGAGGTCACCCTGTGGAGTGATCTTAGCCCACACATAAAAGCACACCCAGAATGTTTTTCCACACTTTCTGTTTTACTGCGGACATGAGCACCACTCCAGCCCTGGATTATAAGGCTCCATCAGTGTGAGAACAAGTCAATGAAAGACTAAAGCACAAATGAGGTCACCATTTTCAGACCTACACATTGCATTTAATTGGCTGGGAGACTGTTAAAATATAAATGGATTCTGTCAGATGCTTTGTGGGAAAACACAATTAGCGCTGTTAAAATGTTTTGCTTTTTAACTGGAAGATTATGGTTTAGATATAAAAATGACAACAGTTTGTACCTAAAATGCATTTCTTCTTGTTACCTTGTGCTCTTACCTTGAGAGCTTTGTGTGTCTTGATAATGCTCTCCATATTGTGAGCGCATTGACTGGAAATTGCAGGACTGTGGCCGTGGCTTATTGTAACAAAAAAACAAAACAAAACAAAAAATCAAATTTAAATGGATTAATATGAATTATTAACAGTATACATGGCTGACTAGATAATTCAATAGTAAATAAAGCTGCCACAAGTATTATACAAGCAATATAATAATAAACTTGTTGACAGTATGTGTGGTTTTCCCCACTAGTGATCCAATTTATATAAACTATTGTGCCATATTTAGTTTGCTCATTGTCTGGGCAGCAGGGAGGGAAACTTGCAAATCATTGGTTTCATTGTTGCAACCGGAAATCAGACCCAGTGACAAACTTTCCAACAACGCCCACCGTGCCACTGAAGTTATCCAGTACGGACTGCCCTGACTGACAAAACTAGGTCGCCAATTCCTTCTTTCCATTTAAACATTTAAGCATCTGTTTTTATTTTAAGAGGTATAAACACACTAAGTCATTCTAAACCAGAAGACAGTAAATATTGGTGAAGTGAAAGTAGGATAGACATTACCAAAGAAAGACGATGAGTCCAGGTGGAACGCCTCCGAATTGGTGCAGGGGAGTGAGTGGGCCTAAACATTGGACATATGTTTGAATTTTAAGCAATTAATCAACCTATTTTCCTATAGGCACGCTCTTCTGAAAATCATAGTAAATAATCTTCTTCATAGGTTTTACACAGCCTGCTTTCATTGAGATGACAACCATTTATGCAGGTTTGGGGCTGGCAGAGAAATTACACTGAGTTGAAGTCTCTGTGGGTTAGATCTGTCCATGTAAATAATTTAACATACTAATATCATAACAATCTATAAATGATATAATTGTATTATTTAAAGATAATAAATGCACTTCATGAATACAATAAGACAGTATATAATCATTATTTTGTGTCCCCTGTCCTTTTAGCCTTCAGCTGGACTATGGATGTCCTCCAGACTTACTCCGCACAGATCTTGTTTTGTTTGTAGAACTTATGTCTGGACGTGAAAAGGCGTGAAATGTACTTTGCCATTTCCATATCCTCCTGCAAAGACCAAGATAAGATAGGTATTTCAATAACTGTTCCAAAAGTGCAAGGATTTTGACATGATTTGTATAACCGCACTTCCAAGTACAGCCTAGGGGGGCATTTGCAGACACAACACTCACCATGTGAAAAATGATGGTGTCGTCTCGACTCGTTATCTCCACTGTGATGGCTGATTTGTTGTGTGCTATAGTCCCAATGTCTTTCCATCTGTTACGCACAAGAGCACAGAATGTACATCGTAAAACTCTGTGCAATAATGTAGAGATCAATCTATGATATTTTTATCTAAGTCAAGACTTGCCTGTGAAGCATGATCGATCTCCCATTTCGGTGTTTGACAAACACTCCAATAAAAGACACCCCAATGAAAATGTCATTTGTGTAGTTGTCCTGTAAACAAATAGAGTTAATTAGGATCATAACCAAATGATGACCCTGGGAAAAAGTGTGTGAAGATATTCACTGTAGCACATTACCTTGGCAGGGAAGCTCTCCTGTCCAAATCCATCCAGTTTCTCCACTTCCCTGATGTACCTCAGCTCTGCCTCTGGAATTTGCATTTGGCTGTAAGAAAATTAAACACAGTGGTAAAAACAATGATGGTGTAAATAATGCAGCAAATATTATATATATATGTATTTATGTATGTATGTATGTATGTATGTACACTGAGAAGAATTTAAGCAAAAAGTAGTACCAATGACTCTTATGCTCTTCAGCAACTTTCTGTGTCCACTCCTCCAAGACTTCATCTCCATTTGGCCAATTCTACAAAATATAAATCAAGATTAGGATTTGTTGTTATAAGTATGATTAAAGGTCACATAATTGTACCTTTTTCTGACAGCTTGTATTAGTATTTAATACATCTTGGCTGTGCGTATTTATCTTTGTTTCTGTGCTATGTACCTGTCATTCAGGTATGCTGAGAAGCTCTACAAGAGCAAGTAAGAATATGTGCCTCCAGGCTGCTCAAACTAACAAAACCATATTTACTCTGTAATGTGTTAAACTTACCACAGGGAACAGCACGTATTCCCTGAGGAAATCCTGAGATTTGAAGTGAGTGTAGTCTCCAAAGTCAGCTATAAAAAACAAACACATAATCTTTTTTGTACATACTTATCAAATCTTGTATATCACAAATACACAATCACATATGCTAACACTTTATTTGAATAACACTGGAACTATATATACTGGTGTCACATAGCTCATACCTGCATATTTAACACATCTGACCACAGTGTTGCTATATCCTAAAGACATGAAGCTGAAGCACCTCATCCCTGACAGATAAAACTTTTCTGAGGCTAACCTTGGAGCTAGTGATAAGCTAACTATTTACATTCCCCGGAGAAACAGACAGCACCCGGGAACACGACCCAGAGATGTGCGCTGGGACTGATACCACAGGAACTCAAGTGGACTGGTTCTTCCTGTGGTATGTGGCCATATTAGGAGTGGAGACGAGATGACCAGTGAAAGAACTGCTCTCTTATCCCCTCTTCAGCTCATACTTACTTAGTCAATTAGTTACATGAAATGTTAGTATATATGTGGGCGAGTATGTATACCTTGTACTGCTAGTCCTGCTAGTCTGATGCCCTGCTCAACTGTGCAGTGGAGACGGCCATCCAGCACCTCCTTTTTCAGCTGAAGGTAATACTGATACCTGCAAGTACAGCAACCAGAGAAACTTCATTTAAATGACATGCCACAATTCCAAAAATGATAAATTGTCTCAAGAGATACTATCATGTTGTGATATAAGTAGGCTAACATGGGCCTGTTAGCAATATAAACAATATTAAAATTGTAGGTTTTCACTAGTGATGACTAAAATGTATACCTTGAAAATGTACCATCTCAAATTTCTAACTTGAGCAACCTATTTGTCATTCAAAATGAAAAGTAACCTGCTTGTCTCCATGGATGGGTTAATACTTTCCCTGGATTGTTCCCATAGACATGTATACTACGAATGTTCCACAATATGGCCTTAAACATATCTTGCATTTATTCACTTACAACATTTTTACTCTACTCAGAACTCAGTTTTCTGTTGTTTTGTTTTTTTTGTGTGGAGGTAGATAAGTTGAAAGTCATCTGGAATATTCCAGGCAAAGCAGAAACATCCATTAAATTTTTTGCAACTTACTTATGTAGAATTTATTATTCCCATTTCTCTTTTGTTATTATTAATTGTGATGTGTGAGTCTAAGTCCAAAAAGTTATACAGTACACCTTCAAGAAAAAGTTGTTAATTCACAAGAAAACCTTGAGATTTCAAACACTCTGTGTGACACACATCCTTTCTCTAGGTTGCTTCTGGTTTGGGTAACTGAAACTTGCGTCATGAGCACAGTACTGTTCATGTTAACTCCAAGGAAATGTGGTGCATGTGGGGAACGAGTGAATCACTATTTAAAATCCTTGTGACTCATCGCTAACTTCAAATGAATGTTGAGCACACACTAATGTAACTCGTCTAAGCACAACTGACATGATATTAAAATAGGCTACTGCACAGTGGCCAATAAATAAAGTATAAGGGGAAAACCAGGCCTCCGTACACAATGGATATGGCCAGTGTAAATTTGACAACGTTAAACCCACTCGAAAATTCAACAAATTTGCTTGCCTACAGTAAATCAAAAGCTAAGTTTGCACTTTTCTTCATCTCTTTATATTCACGTTTAGCTGTGACTGCAGTGGATGTTCGTCTTGAGAAGAATGGAGCGGCCACACAGGAGGAGCAGGGGAATATGCTATGGTCAGGAACAGACAAAAAAAACAAACTCAAAATGCAGTAGAGATGTATAATGCCATATTGCCTGATTTGTGGCACCTTACAAGTCATTAACATAGTTAAAATCATTATCTTTTAATTCCCAGCACAGGCCGATATTTTGTTTTGGTTGATCTGCTGCCTAAAAACACACGCAAAGCTTTAGCACTTAAATAAGAAGACAATACTGCACAAAATATGACTACACAGTTCCCTTATGGGTTCGTGGCAAAAGGGGGCTGTGAGTGAGTTTGTAGTCAATTTAAATGATGTACTTTGAGACATAATTTGAGACATAAATAGTCCCCAAGATAACTCCTCTCCCCATCACCTTCACCGCCAACTTCCTCCACCACGATGAGATTTTTGACAGCAAAGTTCGGGTCTATAAGTACAACGAGGAGACAGAGGAAGGCCGATGGAGCGAAGAGCAGAGACGAAGAGAGAGAAAGAAGAAAAGCACGTTTGGTGGTCCAGTGGTACTTCTCTGCACCCTGTCCGTGTCCTTCACCATGATCTTCTCCATAAGCTCCGAGGACACGGACGACCTGTGGGATGAGTTTAGGATCCCATGGGCGATGGAAAGAGCAACTATGGAAACCTGAATTCCTGCCTTCAGTGATGCCCTGGCCGGAAACCTGCAAAGGTGCTAAGGCGCTCAAGCCCATTTAATTGAGTCCAGTGCCCAGGCGAGTTCTTCTGGACATCCCCAGGTGCTGCAGAGGCTCAGAAGCTGGGCAACAAAGAAATCAGGACTCCACAGGATTAATCCTGGGCTAGATCTGGTTTAGGCCGGACTTAATGCTAGGCTAAACTGGGTTCTTATTTATAGTGAAGAAATGCAGTTTTTTCAAGATAAAAAAAGAAAAAGAAGTATGTTGTAGTATGTGTGCAGGTGTTAGTAAAAAAAAAAAAGAAAAAAAAAAAACGTTAAATAATAAATGTTAATAGGAGTGGATCCTTCTGTCCACTGTTTCATATTTATCACCATGGCAATGACAACCACCCACTTTTGCTGTGACATGAGACATTTATGCATTAGAAAATTAGAACTTAAGTCTCGTACATAGACACTCATTAATGAGAGGCCTATTGATTTAACCTTTTCCAATGTCCAGTTCCCAGATAAATTCAAAATCAGCGTAGTTTAACTGCCCTATAAAACGTTTCTGGTGAGGGGCCTTTCACCTGCTTATCCCCCTGGAAATGATGCTTCTTTGACTGCAATAACAACTGTAATTGAATTAATGCAAGCTAGATAAGTATGATGCCACTGTGAGAAACATTCTGGGCAAAGCAATAATATCTGAATAGAGACAAGCTGGAGGTGGATCCTCAACCCAAAAAAAGTTACTCACTACACCTTTGACTGTACTATTGTAAGACCGGGCTGATGCCTTTTTTATACTTCCTGTCTACCCACAAGTTTCAAGTTCATATCCTTTTGCACATTTTATCCCCACTTCATGCTCTCTCTTTTTTGAGCTGCATTCCCCAAACTCCCTATAATCTGACGCCGCCCTCCTCCCTCACCCTGTCATTACACCAGTCGACTAAGCTGCCACTCACCCTCTAATTAGCCAACTCCAACCTCGAGGAGGCGGGGTTTGTTGTGGGCAGTGGGAGGGGCCTAACAAGGAGCACAAAACCTTGAAATGGTTGTGGACTTGACAAACACCGTATGTTTCCCAGCCTCTCGGTATGTGGTCGCCCGTGGAGTTGATGGAGTGTCTCATTTTTTATACTGAGCTGAACAATAGAGTGGCTATGATTGAGTGGAGGGAGGTTGGGGTCCTTAGTGTAAGAAATGACAACCACAGAAAGAAAACAAACTTAATGGGATGAGTTGTCTAATTAAAGTGTACGGTGGTACTGAAACAATTCTCTGACCAAAGACAACAGACCTCACCAAAATCTAGAAAAAATATTTATGTAGTTATTTATACAAAGTAATTATGTAACAGGTTCAATTATATTCATCAGTTGAGTATCCTTTGTACTTGGAAGAGGCTATGCTAGGCTTTTTAAGAACTACTATTAGTCGTAGAATGGTATTTGTAGAAAGAGGCTAAGCCACAAAAGTCTACATCTACAAGGGTAACATTTTATCTGGTTTGGTTTCACAAATCGTACTTTTTCTACTGTCAGATAAACCCAGGCTCAAATAATCTATCTTTTGGTAGACTGAGGTAATTATTAGGCTAATCTTGTAATGAACAAGTAAGTACTTAAATTCTACATGCAATCAGGGCAAGCTTTAATAAAAAAAAACTGAATATTTTCCAGATGAATATAGATAAGAGTTTGATAATTGTAGTCATGTACCACAGCGATAAAAAACACAATCACTGTAAATATGATACCATATAGTGGCACTTTGTAGAAACGATCCAAATAATTCATTTTCACCTGTCAGCTCTCTAGCATCTGTCTTCATACCATCACCATGTGGCAACAAATAACGTATGTACCACCAGAGCGTGACGACAGGTGAACACATAGCCATCCTCCTTTGACAAAGCCACATTCTCCCATACAAGGAGCGACAGGCGACTTGGACGGGGGCAGAGAGTGTTCGCGGGCACTCGGGGCAGCCACACCAGCACAAAGAAGCCCTTATGTGCCCACGCATGTTCAAGACAGAGCACCAGATGTCCAAGCAGCCTGGACAACAAGCCTCCAGCATATGGGCATTCATGCACCCCCAGCCCAGCAGCACAGCCATATGACCCTGAGCGGCACCCTCCCCTGCTTGCCTCAGGATGGGTGCAGACTCCAGACGGGTTGTGTGGGAAGCACTTTGAAATGTGTTGAATCAGCAGACCCCACAACAGTGCACAGCTCTATGTGTGATACTGATAACTACAGTCTGACAAAGCTATGGTTTCAAGGCTTTTTAACTGTTTTTGGCCTTGGTGGGTTTGTTGAGACCAGATGTACCGCACTAGTTGGCAATATATACGCATACATCAGTGAAGGAAGCAGGACTTCAGCATGCAGCATTGGCACTGTGTTTTTCAATAGGAAGGTCTTTCACAAGTTGACTGTGTTCATACAGACACTTGTAACAGGTCAACAGCAAATGTAGCTAATTGAATAGGCTTGTACGTTATTTTTACAACTAAAAACATGCTGTTTTTTATTTGTAGGGGGAAATATGCTTATGGTGTGTGTCAAAGGCAGGCCTGGCATAATAATTACTATTTCATTTCATTATATGAATCAATATAGGAAAGCTGGAACAATATATTTGGGGGCTCAGTATTTATTGTGAGTACTATTTAAACATTTTCTTTTCAAAAGTGGAAAGATTTGTAATTTTTTTGTTGTAGTAGACTAAAATTTGAGCTGTCAGTGGTTTAAGAAGTGACTTCTATGGCTAATTATTGCTTCATTCGGCTATTTGTTGCAGCATTTATAAATCGGTTTGCTGGGATTATTTTGCATTATTGTTATTGCATCAGTGGTATAAAGTACTTTTATTAGTATTATCACTTATTGCAATATATCTCTATCTAGCTTCAAGCTTTTTTTATGTTTTACTGTGTGACAGGCCTAGTCCAGAGGTTAAACCTTCTCATTGGCATTAATTGCGTTTACAGAAATTTCTTGTCAATATCCAAAACCTGATTTCTGTCTGAAGTAAGAAACATTACTTGTAGTGATGACGTAGGATGGTGTTATAATTTCAATAAACTCAAAAATGTGTCAATCACTTTCTTTTTCAAAGCGATGAGAGCTGTATATTGTGGTGGACTCTTTGAAGTGAAGTGTGTAACCTGATCCATCCATTCAAGTGCTCCTTCTGCTGCAGCTGTGAAAATTCAACAGTGTTGGTGGCCAAAAATCTCCTGCTTTATTTGCCCATACCATACGTACTTTGTATCAGAGTTTGACACTTATTCTCAACTTTACATTACAAATTATAATGGAAATTTGTAAATATTTGGTGCAACTTTTTTCAGAATGTCTCTTTATTTCACTAATGTAAACATCCCCAGTAATACATCTTGAGTTTCTCCACAGATACAGTTTGTTTTGGTTTGAAGAGAGGAAAGGCCCTAATCATTTGAGTGAGATGGGCGTAGTGGAAGACTCACTCAAGCTTGTGTGAAAAGTTGTCTTTGTGATTCATTCATGGCACAGCATTTGAACTCGGGCAGTAATCCCCACTTGCCTCCTAGACTACAAAGCTGTAACGTGATACCCCACTCATCTTTTTGTCCAAAATCCCTTCCTTTTTTTTCACTTACAGAGCAGACATGTGCATGTCAGGCCCAGGGGTTGGTTATAGCACCTGACATGGTTCAGTCTGTCTCATGGTACAACCTGATTCCTTTGGCTATCAACAGTCAGTGGCTTTGAATTTGCAACAAAATACAAAATGTGCCCTTCCATCCTGACACAATTCAAAGTCACCTAAAACTTCCCATAACTGATTCAGTATTATTTTTTACATAATAATGCAAACAAATCACAGTTTACCTATATGTTCATTCATTGCATCTTACAGGTCCTATATAACACAAAACTGACTCTCGAGAGTTTTAAGCCAGGTTAGAATGTTGTGACTTCATCAAAAGATACCTGAAGTTGTGTTTTGTTTCATTCACACACATTTGAGTAACCCATTATTATTAGTCTGTCTACATCTCCAAAGCTCAAAATGCTCTGTTCCACCTTGTAAAATGCCATTAACAGCTACCTTTTACCTTTAGCTCAGCAGCGATTGGCAATTCCAGAGCTGAAATTATCCAAATGATCCTAGTGAAAGTGTTTGGAGCTTAAAACACAATAAAACACTTTCTGTATTGGAAAGGAGGAACAAAGTGTCACAAGGTGAAACAAAGTGTTTTCAGTTTGAGAGAAGAACTCAGCCTAAATAAGCAGGGTTTGTGTGTTAAACATGCGTGAATGAAACACAACTCCAGGTACATTTTTGATGAGGAAACAACATTACAGCATAGACCAGAAAATAGCGTAATATGGGCCTTTAAGGGATTTATACTTACACAAATTCTATATTTCACTGTATATTATTTAAGAGACAGAACCCATAGTTATTTTAAAATCAAATGCAACAAATTATCAATAAAAAAGTGGTTGAGTGTGTGTTTTAATTCAGATGCAGTGTACAAATAGCCCCCCTTGGTTCACCCCCTTTTTTACCCCCAGCACTTCTGCCCCAAGGAATGCATGATCGCCTCCTATACTGCACCTCCGAGCCAACATTCCTCACTAAAAAGAAGGAAAAAAAGAAAAGAAAGGCAGTGAAAGAACAGGAAGAAGGTGACGAATAATAAAATAATGGAGGAAAAGGGCTGTATGGATGACACTATGTGCAGGAATTGGATGAGACTTTAGAGAATTTGGAGGTAAAAGAGAGGGGCTATTGTTCGCTTAATTGCCCCTAAGGCCCCATCATAACCCTTCAACCCTATAACCCCATACACACACGCATACACACACATACACAGACACACACACCAGCACCATAAAAGCCTCCTGGGGATTCCTGAAATACCATCCCCTTATCCAGGCAGATCCATGCTCCTCTGTTACCAACCTGTACTTTCACTATCAAAGCTGCTGACAACTTCTTACAAACTATTTTATACAATGCAGTACTTAACCATAATTATCTACTTTGGATTTATAATGCAATGGTTCTCAAACTGTGGTATGGTGGTTAGTAGACAGTCTTGTTTAGTTTGAACTAAGGTGGAATGTTATGTAGTTCATGCTGTGATGAAATTAGATAAAATTGGAAATTTTTTCATGATTTTAAATTTACAAAACAGAGACAGCTAATTTCTTCCAAGGGATGATTTTGTCATTGTTAAGTCTCATTTCAGACCTGGTGTAGTCTTGGTTAAATCCACTGACATAGATTAAGTTTAGCCCAGTTCTGTCCAGGATTAATACTTTAACAATTTAAAAGGGTCTATTTCAGATTCATAAAAAAACATTTAATAGAACTATGTTTACATATGCAAAACATGTTGCTCTGTCCTAGTTATGGCCTTCTATCATTCCTTTCTTTGGATATGGTCAACTTCTGAGTCAGTCAAATATTTTTGAAAGGTATTTCTTGTTGTGAGAAGCTTGCGAATCCCTGCTCTAAAGTCAATAGTTAACACGGTGGCCTCACAATGTGAAGTAACTCTAGCATCACAAAGTCAAGCGGTGACCAGCGTTTGACCTTTCCCACACGCAGCCATGCAAAAGCCACAGATTCACCAGAGCAGTGCTAAACGGACCTGAGCAGAAGGTGTCTATGGGACTGTCACTGCACAGTGACCCTTGGATGCCCTCTGAACATGGATATAGACTTTTCACACTCATTGGCCGGCACAGATGTGAATGTATGAGCAGTGGAGAGACAAGGAATTATTCAAAACAAACTCAAATCAAACACGGTGAAAACTGCAACTATTCAATTTTTTTATAAATATGTCACCATGTACTTTGCCTTAGGTGACAAAAAAACATCCCTGTATCTAACAAAGAGAATAATATTTCCATGTTTAAAGGTCTGCTATGTAACTTTTCCGGTGGAGAGTCACCTGCTTGTCTTGCATAGATCTGTGGAGAGACAACCCCCCACAGCAAGAATGTACAGTATATGAGTATTTTAGAGATAAAACTGTTCCAATAGTCCATGGCAAAAATAGAAATGTCAAATACAATGCCATACTGTGGAACATTTCAAGCAATGCAAATCTCCATTTTGCAGACCATCCATCAGCAAATAGTCATAGTGCACCTGTTACAATAATGTCTACAGGAAAGCAACTAATTGAGTTGACATTTAAAAGTTGCACCATGTAACTTTTTGGTTGGGTTCCATCACTTGTTTGTTTCATTGTGTCACTGCACTGCCTGAAATGCTCCACAGTATGACATTAAAGAGCTCTACCTTACATTTATTAAATTACAGGTGGTTTTATAGCCTACAAAACAGGCATTCTGAGTGTGAGCGGGGTTGTCTCTCTACAGATCTGACCTGTAAGTTGGTCTGGTTTGGACTCCATGAAGATAATAAGGAATATTTAATGCCATACTGTGAAACATTCCAGACAAAGCAATAACATCTCCACAGAGGAAAGCACCTGACGGACCTTCCACCAGAGAAGTTACACAATGCACCTTTAAATAAACTAAAATAATAAAGACACACAGTAACATTTATAAACTTTGCTTGCATTTCTGGTCTTTGAACCATGAACCAAACTGAACCATGTAATGCAGCACTTGCGTTATTCCACATTTACAAGGCATTGACACAGCTCTTATGAAGGCACATCTTCCCAGACCAGAAACGTAGCACCTTAATGTCTTTCATTCGCAAATACCATGTGTGCAGTGGAATCCATATGTAATGTAATCTTATGTAAGGCATACCTGGTGACTTCTTGCTCCAGCAGAGACACATTGGGAACGTAGAACATGACTCCAAAGAACCATATTTTGTCCAATTGCTTCTTGAGCGGTTTCTCCAACTCCACCCAGCGATGGTTCGGGGCGTGGGTCTTCCCCTGGAACCATAGCCCGAAGTAGTGGGTCTAACATGGAACAGGAGAGAATTAGGCTTGGGTTAGGTGATGAGCCATAGAGATCTTTAAACCGTTTACAGTTAGGGGTAGGAAATAGGTATCAATATTTTTGGTTGGGCCTCCAGTTGTTTTTGTGTTAATTTGCTAAATAAAACCAGACTTTTCAATACATTTCAGTGCAACAGCCTGCTGCTTTAAAATAGTGCATATGTATTATAAAAAAGTCAGGAGTTTACTGTTTATTTGGTGCAATGATTTGGGTCACGTCTGTTTTTTTATCATTACATACTCTTCCATTTTTTATAAATAAGAGATAAAAAATTTAAAAATGCAAATAATGCAAAAAAAGTGAAGAAATCTACAGAAATTATGTATGATTTGATTAAATTAAGTATACCTTAACCCTAAATGTAACTGTAGTATAAATGATAGTATGTTTTGATATCATTTGTACTATGAAAGCTAAATTACTGCAGATAACAATTTGGTAAATGTCTTGTTAGAGGCATATCAAATTAAAATTAGAATCGACAGAAGCAAATTATGGGATAAAGATAGACTTTTTATTCTCCAACATGCTAGGACAAGATAGCTAGTCTGAAATAGCATCACAGCAATAGCATCATCTCACACCTGTTTAATTCATGTGGTTCTACTGCTATAAAAGTAATAAAAGTCGTAAAGCTGCTTCTGACACATCGAGCGCTGCAGGTGAGAAATAAAATGTAAAAACTACAAAAAGACAAAGACACACACACACTCCAACAGCAGACAAGAGCTGGGACAGAGGAGGCGTCACATCCCGTTATTTATGGCTTGACTGACAGATGGGAAATACCACAACACCATGCAAGTACGCACTGAGGCCCTGCTGCAGCGCTAGAGACACCCAGACAGACATAAAGCACCATAAAACACCAGCCGCCTTCTGATCTCAGCTTTAATTACCTCTACACAGAAACTCTATAGACATACACCACTGATGCTTCAAAATGGGTGTGTAAAGGTTATGTAATTATATGGAGAAGAATTGGAACTAGGATTAGTGTGTAACGAGGCAATTAATCAATCATTCATGAATTAGCAAATGCTGTCTAGAGCCAGTGTGAACAAAAAATTTAAAAAGAACAGCGCAATGAAACAGATTTTACCATTACAATTTTGTTTCGAGTGATATGGGGCTTCACTTGGGCCCAAGTCCTTCAACTTTCTCATTTTCAACTTTCCCTTCTTGATTTTAACTGGTTTGTTCTCATTTCCTAGCTCCTCGCCTCCTACATCCTTGCCTCCTCTGTCCTCGTCTCCTCCTTCCTTCCCAGTTACTTCATACAAGCATAGAATAGACAGTACAAAGAAGTGGACTAAGTGAGTATGACATTACCCATGACTTGGAGCAGAGTTCCATATTAGGAATCTGAATTTATTTACGGACAAAATAGCGAAATAAAAACAACAAGATCATGTAGAGCAGTTAAACATTTTAAGACCAAATTGGCAAAGCTCACAGCAGCAGTTACAGAGAGAGGGTGATGATTTTTTAGTGTAACCAGAGTCGAAAGAGCCGGAAGTACCCCCATGAACACTTCTTATTATGAACGTGGTGGCTAGTGGGCTAGTTGTGTCCATTTATACATACAGTCAACAAAAAACAAGGATTTCTAAATACTTAGTCTAAATGAATGAACCATCATTCTTTCTCTGCAAGATGATTTTTCAACTTGATTTTTTTTTTCATAATCAAGCAGACCTAATTAAGATTCACATTATGTAAATGTGAAGAGGTCATATAAAGTGTAGGAGACATAAAGGAGGAAGTGGCATTAAGTGGAACAATTGTGACGAGTGGTCTGCTGTTCTTCTGCAGTGACCCTGAAGTAAAGAGCAAAGGCCAAGAGGACACAACACAGGGGGCACGTGGCACTGACACTGGACACACTAGCACAACCCCCACATATGAAATTGTATATATAGGAATAGTTAAAAAATTTAAATTATCTTTGAATAATTTTAATAGTATTAAGGGATAGCGTCCTGCCTGTTTCTTGTTGTATATGTTGTAATAGTAAAAGACTTAGTGGTAAAGACTTCCACACTAGACACATTCATTGTATCGGTCTGCTGAGGTGAAGAAAGAGTTCAGTCGCTGGTCAATCTATTGCATGTGCTTACTCCCGTGGTACCCATAGAGTTGAGTTTTGAGTCATGGGATGCAGTATACTGGAATTCGTACTATAGTACCACTGGATGGATGACCAATGGGAATACCAGGTGCTGTGGTGGGTTTCTAGTGGGTCTACTTCAGTGTCCATGTATGAATGAGACTTGTGGTTTGCGTGTTTAAACGCAGGGCAGCTGATAGAAATTAGGCATGCATGTTCATTGAGGTGTACTCTGCAAACTCAATAAAATAAAATAAAAAAACAACAGGGTATAGTATTTCAGTCAATAAGGTTTCTTTCTAATTTCCTCACTGTTTAGTTGAGCATCCTTAACAGAAATTCCCAGGGGCAGCCCTCACCTCTCTCAGCTCCAATCTCTGTGCCACAGCCTCCAGACATTCCTGCCCCGTGCTCTCCACTGACAGTGTGCACTCGATCACTGTGTTGTCCAGGAGCTGGATCCGCGTCACAAAGTAGTTCTTGCTCAGGACATTGTAGCGACGCGTGCGCCGTAGCTTCAGCCGGAAGGGCATGGCTGAGCGCCGCGCCGGGGACAGGAGAGAACGTCACTGTAGAGTCAGGATGGGCCGGGTCAACAGGTCAAGGGTCAGAGGTGAAGAAGTCAAAAAAAAAAGTGAAAGAGAGAGAGTCCGAGGAGGGTCTATAGGCTGTCCACTGCCCTCCTCACTCTCGCACGACGCCAGCCACACCACTGGGCGGAGACAGGCACCCTGGCAATGTGCTGGCCCATTCCCAAAGGTGTTCAGAGAGGAGAAGCAGACTGTGGAGGGGGTCCTGATGAAGTGGGGCTGAAAAGGAAAAACACATACAAATTAGTGGAGTTTTCTACTATATAAGTACTGCAATTTCTAATTATTTGACTACACAACTGCATTTATCTTCCACTTACAGTCTATATATATATATATATATATATATATATATATATATATATATATATATATATATATATATATATATATATGCTGGTCACATATTACAGGTATGGCGATGTACTGGTAGGCCTGTCACGATAATTACTATATCAATTTATCGTTCAATCTTATCATATGAAAGCTAGAACAATATATTTTGGTTCAATACATTTTTTTTTTGTCAAAGTAGGGAGATGTGGTGTATTTTGTTGCATTTTGTAGAGCAGTAAATGGTTATAATGTCTAGTTATTGGTATATTTATTGCAGTTCAGTTCTTTTAACTATACTGTTTTTTAATGGTTTACTGGGATTATCTTGCATTATTGTTATTGTGTCGGTGGCATAAAGCAGTTTCAGTATTATTGTTTATCGCAATATATCTCTGTAGCAAGATATTGTGCTTCAAAATGTGTTATTGTGACAGGCCAATATATGAGAATAGACAATGTAAACAAAAGTAAGTTCAGGACTTCACTATAGTTTGGTCATAGTGTCCATAATCTTCTCACTTTAATCACAACACTAAAATTTTAAAAACTGTAACATCCATAAACTAGAAGTGAAAGACAGAGATGTTGCATGCTGGATTATTGCAGTAGAAGTACAGAACTTTATTCCCCCGTCTTGGTGCAGCTGTGGTGTCTCTCTGCTCTCCGGAGGCCCACAGTCAGACACTGGACGCAATAAAATCTATGGCTGAGCGGACATCAAACGCACGTCCTTCTGAACACAGCGGTGGGCTTAAGGGGCTAATGGAAGAGCTAAAGCCGCATATTGGTTTGTGTGGGAGGCCTTTTATCTGCCTTAATGTGAGGATCAAGACCAGTATGTAGATCACACATAAACACTAGACACTTCACATGCAACTTGTTAGCAGCATGCCACTGTGGGAGATCTCAAGCACCACAAACTACACCGTATGCTAATGATGTTGTTTTTTAATACTGACGTCCCACTTCTCAAGCCTTCTTTTGCCTTCCTTCAATAAAATATTAAAGGAAGGCAAATATTGTTGCATTGCTTTTGGTATTTGCAATAACAAAACTGCATAAATGACTTTGACCTATATGGAGCAGTTCTCTATTCACAAGACACAAAATCACAAGTTGTGTAATGTTAATGTACTATTACGCTTGCCCTTTTTGTTCCCATACACTGTAAGTTCTATAAAAGATATATATATAGCCATATACCAATCTCCACTTGGAATTTCTTTGTGTACAGATTGATCTCTAAAAATAAACTTGCATGGACTGCCACATTCGGTCAGTCCAAAGCATGGGTAACTGAAGGGGGAAAATAAAATGCTATTCTTTCCGAGTTGAACTCACAGAACACTCTGTAACCTTAAGTTTGTAAGCAGCTTTAAGCTCCCAGTGAATCTCTATATCTAACATCTGTTATTTTGTCAAAACATGTGACATTCAATGTTGAGATAATATGTGATAACTATGTCCTCTGTATCTACCAGGCTTTTCCAATTTGGTTTAAATGTAAAGCATAGGTCGGAAAACAGCTCCCAAGTGCTCTGTTAGCGATAAGAAAGGGTGAAAACGGGGAGGAAGAAGGTGGAATAAATACAGCATGGATGTGTTGCTTCTTGTCCTGCTGTTGATAGTCAGCTTGGACCGGAGCCCACATTCCTGTGTAACTCCGACTGGAAAAACAGAGCACACCTGACACAAATATGCACCACAAGGAGAAAGAAAAGTGTGTGCGCTGACAGGGAGCATGGTGTGGTGAAAAATACATAGGGCTGGACTAGGGCAGGGTAATAGTCAGTTACTTTTACTCTTTAGCTTGAGTCACATTTTGAAGAGCACTTAAATGGCCCCATACTTTCAGTAAAACTTTTGATTATTATTCCAACTGTATGAATAATTCATATAAGCAAGTCAGCAATCATTTTTTTGTTATATTTTCCTCAGTAAATGTAAAGAAATTAAATATATTTCTATTTGCACACTCATGCTTCTTGCCTTTACATAGATTTTCCAATTCAATTGATGAATCAAATGTTACGTCCAAACAGTTACTCAGAACGTCAGTATATACACTCCCAGTCAAAGGTTTGGACACACCCTCTCATCCGATGTTTTTTTTTTTTTTTGTATGTTTACTACTTTCTACGATTAGTATACATACAGAAGACAGCAAATATATGAAGTAAGATGTGTGGAATTATGTAGCAAAGAAAAATATTTCATGGCATATTTCAAAATGTGCAAAAAATTGCAAAAAAATAAATAAATAAGCAAGTCATTGAGTGTGTCCAAACTTTTGACTGGTGCTGTTTAAACATACACTACCAGTCAGGTGGGAAACTTGAGGATTTCATTCCAAAATATATTTAAAAAAATATTTATTTAAAGGTGCATTGCGTATCTTTTCAGGCTGGGGTTTTGCTACCATGGAGATGCTATTGCTTTGTCTGTAATGTTTCACAATATGATATTAAACTTAAATTGCATTTATTCAATTATGGGTCTTTTTATTGCTCAAAAATACCTTTAAATACATATTTATATTGGAATGGGGTCACGTCTTCACAGATGGCCTGGTGGCATCTCCTACTTGTTTCTATGGAGACTGAGAAAGAAAAGTAAATGGCAGACCCTTTACCAAAAAGTTACACAGTGCACAGTGTTTTTTTGTTTTTTTTATCTTTGCTACATAATTCCATACATCATACCAGATTTTATTTGGTACTGTATAATCACCACTCCACTCTTTGATTTTAATTGCATTACAGTAACAGTTTACAGTAACCATACATTGTTGGCTACTCTGAACGTCTGGATAAGAAGCGAGAAGAACCAGCAGTGATTGAGTCAGGCTTGTGTCACTGTTCGGAGCAGGCCCCTCTGTTTGGCAATGCCAAACACACAATGAAATCAGCATATTCATCAGTTTTAATGAGCAACACCACTCATGCCACAGGGGATGAGTCAGTCTAATTTTCTATAAGATTTGTGGTAAAAGTGTCTAGGGGGCTCAAGTTTAAGGGAAGTGCCATAACATGTTGACGGTAAGCGGGCGGCTATTTAAAAAGAAACACACAAAAACACAAATAAAAGCTACATACTTTCTCTACATAGTGTACAAACTTAGACATGCATGAACAGGGCCCACCGCAAACACACACCCACCCGGGTTTTTCACCGAGGTTAGCCAAAGGACCAAACAGCATTTAGTGTGACAGTAACCGGCAATCAGCGCAGTGCTCTGAGAGAGTGCGGTCAGAGTTAAAAGTTAGATGGACACACAATGAGCCAGGGCCCAATACTACGAGGCATCCAGCAACATTTTTTACTATGTTTATTTCCAGCATGTGAAAAAAAACACCATATAGGTTTATGATTTTGCAAGTTGTAATTTTGTGGTGCAGAAAGAGTAAAAGGGAAAAAACTGAGGGAAAGGGTTGTTTTTCATTCAGCAATTGTAGGATAAAAATATGTGAAAAACATTCCCAGTTTGGCGCGGCAAAAGGTTAAGGTCGAAAGTGAGATGTTATTGTTTGGGGAAATGCCCAATTCACCCACAACATTATGACCACCTGCACCTGATGATATATTATGAGTTCTAGCCTTACTTACCACCATCTGCATGAGGTAGTCATTTATACAGACCACGATCCATGTTCACTCTTAGATCTAGCATATGAGCTATAGCCACTTCAGCTAATTATACAGAATCACTAGGTTTACATGCATAACTTAGCCAGAGTTAGCACTAGACATGAGGCATCAGAATTTCAGTTCTATTCGGCTCTTCCTGAAGATGTGAGACGGCCTTTACACTGACAAGGCTTAAATCCAGGCTCAAAACAGTTCTGTTTAGCTAAGCATATGACTGAAAGCTTTTTATTCCACACTCTTCTTTTTTAATGTTAATTTGATGATGATTATTTATGTTTGATTTGTTTGTATTGTGATTTAATGCCTTTCTAATTCTGTAAAGCACTTTGAATTACTTTGTGTATGAGATGTGCTATACAAATAAACTTGCATTGCCTTGCCATAAATAACTGTGAGTGTTACAACCAAATTCAAATAGTCTTTCCCTAAAATTTGCCAGCCCTCTCATATCCTTGTCTACATGAAGTGGGAAAAAAACTGAATAGGTGCGAACAGGGGGCTAAGAGACATTAAGGAGCAGCTAGTAATTTGGCATTAGCACTAATACTTTGAAGCTACAACTGCTAATAAAAATGACAATAATTCTTACAGTATAACCACACATTTGGTAGAGATAGATAAATGGCATCTCAGAGTAGCTACCCACGTGCAACAGCTCCAAAATCTGAAGTTTAGGAGATGCACTGTAACCACTGACACATGAACTTTGAAGGCATAATGGTCTCATAATGCCTGCCTGTCCCACCACAAGCAGCGCCCATGTGAAAGATGGTTTTAAAGTTCTGGCTAATCTCATACTGTATAAAGTGACTCAGTGTTTTGTTTTGGGTTTTTTTCCATCTACCATATTTGCACTTCAACATCAATCTATGTCACCATGACTGATTTAAACAGACAGTGTTAGTGTAATGTACTACAAAGAATGTTGTCTGATATGAACATATCATTGTTTGAGATAAGTCATCAAAAGACTATGAGGCCAACTATAAACAAAATGGATAGATAAGATTTAAAATAAACACACATATATGGACATAGAGCGTGCCTTGGAAGTCAGAACCTGCTTAAAACTGTCCCATTATGGTGGCAGCATTACATAGTCACCATGTTTCATTCTGTTACTTTTGTGTGGCAGCTGTGGCTGTTTTTGCGAAACAAATTAGAGTAAAAGGTTTGTTTTTGTGATTTTGGTTTGCAGACAAATGAGACAATTATAAAACAAGGGAGCAATTATT